GTGGATAACGTGTGATCTGTGTTTGGTGTATGTGGTATGCATGATGTGTGTTGCATGATATGTGTGTGATATGTGTCATGTGGTGTGCATGTGTTTGTGTTGTGTGGCATGTGCTGTATGTTGTGTGGTGTGTTGTGTCTGGTGTATGTGGTATACATATGTCATGTGTGTTATGTGGTATGTGTAGGGTGGGGGGGTAAAGTTGGGGTTAGCAAGGATCATGGGGCAGTGGAGTCTTTAAGCAAGGTGATCCAGTCCAGGGGAGTCCTCACATCAAGCAGAAACTCCACCAGGGTGTCAGCTGAAAACTCGCCATCATACTCAATGACTTCGTCTCCCTTGAACACATAAACGCTGTCCTCTTCAACGAGTCCTAGGGAGTGAATGGAAGGTGAGCCATGACCCCGGTCTTCCCACGGATTCCTGAGTCCAGAACCCGGGTCACAGCCCACTCCACCATCCCATTGGACACCACATTTTCCACCTCTCCCTTTCTCTGTCCCACCCACTTCCACTGTCCCTTATCCCTACATCCCTGGTGTCCACAATCCTGGCTTGAGCCAGGAGGCTAGCCTGGCCCCAGGGGATCTCCAGGGAGAAGATGAGGGGATCAGCTAGGGTGTAAGGGGAGGCAACAGGGAGATACAGATTCTAGCAGCATTGTGGTGCAGTCCTGCTATCTCCTCTGAGAACTCCGGTGGCTAATTCTGTGTCCTGCCCTTTAACATTGCTATTACTGACCAGATGACTTCATTATTACTAACCAACCCTCCCCCACCCACATCCGGGAGTCTGGTCTCGAACGTGTGCTGCCCCCTGGTGGCTGGGCACTATAACACCCAGCTAAGGTTCTGGAGCGGGAGGGGTTGGGAGAGGAGATTGCATGGTTTCCCCAGCCTTGCCTGGATTCCTGGCTTGCCCTTTCTCTCTAGAACCTGGCCCTGTGTCTAGGGAAATAGAAAGCCACCCCACCTCATGCTGGGATATGAGTACAGGCTGGGACCCACCAACACAAGTAAAGAGTTCTCCAGCCCCTCAGAGCCCAGGGCTGTCCCCAAGTCCTCCAGCCTAGGCCTCCCCATCCCACAGGCTGATTCCCCTTCTTGCTCCTCCCTCCCTTCCTTTACCTAGTTTCTTGGCCACGGCTGCGTCCTTCTCAGAGTCCACCAGCCCGAAGCCAACACCCTTGTCTTCTAGGACTTGGGCTGCTAACTAGAGGGAGGGGTTAGAGTTAAAATTAGTCCTTGGAATTTTTTCCCCCCCTGCAGTCCTGGGGATTCAACCCAAGGGTTATCCACTGAACCACATCTCCAGCTTAGAGTCTCGCTAAGTTGCTGAGGCCGGCTTTGAACTTGCGATCCTCCTGCCTCAGCCTCCTGAGCTGCTGGGATTACAGGCCTGAGCCACTACACCTGGCTCCTGGAATTCTTATTACCTCTTCTCCCCGCCCCATGGGTACAGGAACTCTAAGAGTTGACCTTGGCCTTATGCTAAGATCCAGAATATCCCCAAATTCCCTACAACTTCACCATTTCTGCATTTAGTTCAACTTTAAGTTTATGAGTATTTATTGCTCAATTGTAGTATGCTTGCTATGTTGAACTTGAAAGCACTAAGCTTGACAATATACAGTTCCTGAGGAATGCTGGGGAATCTGGCTTTCGAGTGACTGAGGGACCCTTTTCTCCTGTACTCTGTTCCAGTCAAAGGTGAAACTCAGCATGGGGATAATGTTAGAATCCTGAGATCCTTCCAAGTAACTACCAACACAAGAATTTTTGCTGGTGGGTGTAGAGGGTCTGGTCATGTTGCTGAGGAGCGGGGAAGGCCAGGGAGTTGAGAGTAGAGGTCACCAATTGACGAGAGACTGGCAGAGACTAGACAGTTTCTTTCACACTGAACTTTGGCCAGTCCTTAGACTGTGGACAGTCCCTGCCCCCATAAGCCTACCAGCTCAACACTCAATCCTGATTCACTCTTCTGTGGGCACAGAATGCAGCTTTACCCCACCCAACATTCAGGCACCACTGTGATTTTTAGGGGGACAGGGAAAGGAGGCAGATGGCAGGTGGATGGCCAGGGATACTGAGCGCTTAGGATAAAAATACTTGCCTCATTAATCAGAGGGTGGGGGGGTGCTCTGGCATTCAGCAGAGGCAAACAGAAATGAGAGCCTGTGGTCTCAATGTCTCACCCTGAAATGCTTTATGCTCTGGTCAACCCGGGGCCCATCTGCACTGCACAGAGAAGGGGCTGAGGAAACTTGGACAAGGAAACTCAAATACATTCCAGCTCCTAGAGGGGTATGTGCCACCACATCTCCAATTCTAGGGTTTCTTCTTCTTGTTATTTTCCATTTTCATTTTAGAGTAGTCATCTCTGCTTTGGATCTGAAGTCAGATTGGGGGTGAGGAATCTCATTCTACAAAGAGAAGATATTCTGAAGCCTCCTTCAACTATAGAATTTTCCATTGAAGATATCCAGCTTGATCTAATAGAGCCAGATAGGGAACTAGGGGTCAGGGAGGAAGAAAGAGGGGGCTGGGAGACCAATGGGAGGCATGGTGGTCTTTAGGAGATACTGAAACATTTATCTTTAAGTGACAGGTGAATATGATATCAGTAGCATTTAATTTTTTTTAAAAAATATATTTTTTTATTTTTAGTTGGACACAATGCCTTTACTTCACTCATTTATTTCTATGTGGGGCTGAGGATTGAACCCAGGGTCTTACACATGTGAGGCGAGCGCTCTACCGCTGAGCCACAACCCCAGCCCCAATAGCATTTAAACTTATGCTCATTTTGGATCCCATTGGAATGCAGCCCCTAAATGTACGAAGAGGGAGCATGTTCTGGTTAGGAGAGTATATTGGTGTGCTGGGGGTGCAATACACAGTACTACGTCCTAGTTCTTCCCTTGCCCCCAAATACCTCCCTTTCCCCTTTTCACCCTCCTTCTGAGCCAAACCTAGATTCACCAGCCTCCTACAACTTGGGGGGCAATCACCCCGCAGCGTCTCTTCTGCAGTTATCTAACTGTGGTAGTACTTTTGGGTTGCTGAGTCTATTTATCATTTGGCTAAGGCCACAGGCCAGTTGTATCCTGTTGGTCAAGACAAAAGGTCCTCCTACACTGCCCCCACCCCCCCAGATCCCACCCCTCAAAAGATCTCCCTGGGGTTGTGTCATAGGACTTGCAGAGAGGGGCTGGGCATGCGCCGCAGGCCTGCAGTCTCCCACTCACCTCTAGGATCAGCTCCTCCATCTCAAATTGTCTTTGTGAGGCCTTGTCATCCTCAGGGGGTTCGTGGTAAAGGAGTGCCAGCACCTCGTACTTCTTGAACACATTCTTGTAGTTCTTTGCGTTGACATTGATCACACGGTCCACACCATCGTACTCAGGAAAGTCCAGCCCTTCCTCCCCTTGGACCCCTGACTTGGGAGTCCCCAGCACCAACAGTAACAGCAGTGCCTGTCTCAGACCTGGCTCCATCCTGGCCCCCATCCTGTCTGTAGTACTCCTGGAGGTAGAGGGATCTGGGCTGCTTCTCCTGATCCAGAGGAGGTTAGCTGGGGACAGGGAAGGCCCCCTAGGTACCAAATCCTGAGTTAGGGGCTCTACGTGGGGGTGGGGTAGGGAGTGGCCCAGAGCAGTGGACACTGCTGGGTCCTGGAGAAACTGCCCAAAGAGCCAAGAGAAAAAGGGTCAGGAGGAGGAATAAGAGCAGGGGGCGGGGAGGGAACCGGAGCTGCCCCCTGAAATTGGCACCCCTCGGTCCCCACCTGGTCCTGTCTAAATATGTCTCCGTGGTTGGCAGGAGAGACAGATAACCTTCCCAGGCTAGGACAACTCCATGCGGGCCGGAATCCTCCCACATCCTACACCTCTCCCCCAAGCTCCCAGTCTCTCCTTCCCCCCCTCCCCCATGTCCAGGGCTCCTCAGCCCCTGTCCCCATGCAGGCCCTAAGAGCTCATCACCATATTAAGAAAGGAGAAGGGAGAGACAGTGATCTAAAAATAAGACCAGATGAGTCGGAGGTAAGTGAAGCTGAGACTGGAGGAGGGGAGGCAGGGGGTAACTAGGGATCACCCAGGGTAGGGTGAGGGTAACAGAAGGAAATGCAGGTGTGTTCTGGGGCAGAGGCTAAACTGATAATAGAGGACCAAAGAGACAAGTGTAGGACTGCTTCCACACCCTAAAATCTGGGAATCTTCTAGGGGTGAAGTCTGTTTCTTTGATCCTGTGAAAGAGAGCGGGGGAGGGGGCAATAAAACACAGTCTGGGATGCAGGCAAGAGACCCCCTGCCGTTCCCTTTAAAGAGTCAGGACCAAGGATGAGATCATTCTCTGAATAAAAGATGGAGTGGAGTCCAAGACTGGCGACCTGGCTTAGCTCCAGCCAGTTTCCTATGCTTCACTCAACATTCCTGACTGGGGAATGCAGGGGCAGGACAGGGCTGGCCCAGATCCCATCCCGTAGGATGCAGATTTGGGGTTTCTTTACCCAGATGGCCCACCAAGAGGAGGGGAATGTCATTTGGCTGCCACCTCCCGTGTGCACTCTCTGCCCTGAGCCTAGGGGACCGGTTTTCTAGGGCACAGTAGGAAGGGAGGATTCCCCAGGCTGAATGATTCTAAAGACAGCTAATAGCTACGGTTTATTCCTATGTCGTTGGCAAGACAAAGACAGGATCAGGCATAAACACTGGTGAAAACAAAAAAATTAACAGGAGGAAAACCTGAAGAGGCGGGCCCTGTCAGTTGATCCTGTGCACCTGAGACCTAAAGCAGCTTGGGGAGAAAGGGCTGTCAAGTCTGGATTCCAGCTTGGAAGTGAAAACAGAGTAACTGAGTTCAGCTCTGGGTCCCTAGAAGGATCATTTCCATAGCTTGCCAAGGCTGTTATCACGCACAGGTAAACTGAGGCACGAGGGAGACCATGCAGAGACCAGATCAAAGTCAGATGACCCTACCCCACTCCCAAGGTGTCTCTCATTTTGGAAGTACCACGTTTATTTTGCATTTAGGCGAGGGCATGGAATTGTATTAGCAGGATAATTTTTGCCCACTGCCATGGGGCAGACCTTACATAGCAAAGTGAGGAAGGCCACAGAAAATCTCAAGAGCATGGCAGGACCGAGTCCAATAGGAACAGCTGTCACGGTAGCAGGAGAGGCCAAATCTAGCTCAAGCATGGCACATTACAGCTGAAGAGATCTCAGAATTCCACCTCCTGCTCTCCCAGGAGAGCAACTGACGTGCTAGAGCCAAGAACCCTAGCCAAGATGGTGGGGAGCAATGGGCAGGCCTGCCCAGAAGTAGATGACCCAGATGATGACCGGCCTCGATCTCTTACTTCTGCAGCATTCTGGGGAGGGGGAAACATTTGAACAGAGACAATGGGACATTAGACTTATTCCATGATCAATGGGACCTTTTGCACACACCCCTCCTCCCAAAAAGGGCGTGAGACAGGACTATGAGGTGACCCTGGCCTGCTCCTTCTCCTCATCCTCTCCTGCAGTCACTGCTCCCTAGGGGTTGCCCTTTTTGGCTCTAGTTCTACCCTTACTCTTTCCGGCTCCTGTACCCGCCACCCGGGCTCTCTCTCTGATGCTGGGCTCTCTATTTTCTCCTCAGTCCCCTTCCCTCTAGGCCCCTTGCCTCCAGGCTCTTTGGACTTATCACGCCTCAGCCGCTGGTATCAAATGACCCTGAGTTGGGGCCTCTGTATTTTTAACCCACCAGACACCCAAAGCTCCTGCTACTGAAACCCGAGGAGCCAGCCCCTCTGCACTCCCCCTCCCCAGCTCACACACATACCTCCTGGTCCTCCCATCTTCCAGAGTCTAGTTCAGCCATGTCAGCAGCCAGGGAAGGACCCCAGACGGACACAGCCCTGTCCCTAGGAACCCTTGTATTGGAAGAGAGAGCCTGAGGAGGGGTTGGTGGAGGGGAAGGGAGGTGGGCTACCCCTGTCCCCTGGGATTGCCTTCTTTTTGCCAGCCCATGGTCCCTCATCCTCCAGATCCACCCACGACCTCTCCTCCTTCACTCTCCTATTTTGTTAATGTTTTGTTTTTCTGTTTCGGCCCAGCCCTTACTATAAGACTAGGCTGAAGAGTTGTTAAAGGCACAACTTCTAGAATCAGACAGACCTTGGTTTCCTCAGCTACGGAATGGTGTGGTAGGACTACATTTGCTTGAATTAATTGATGGTGTGTGTGTAGCCTTTGTCCCAGTGCCAGGCCTAGAATGCAGTTACTTATTACATGTGTTTTGTTTCTGGTAACAGCTGATAGTTCCCCCCAGCTTTTCTTAGCATTTCTGTCTTGCTCTGTGTACTTCTGGGCGGACCCAACCCTTTATTTATTTATTTTTTTCCTCTCAGTAAGTACTGGGGGTTGAACCCAGGGGCACTCTACCATTGAGTTATAGCCACAGTCCTTTTCTATTTTGAGACAGGACCTCAAAGTTGCCCAGGCTGGCCATGAACGTGCGATCTTCCTGTCTCAGCCTCCCGATTTGCTGGGATTCCAGGTGCAAGTCACTGCACCCCGCTGAGACTCTTCTAGTGCTACAATTCTATGGTCTGTAGTTTGAGGAAATCCAAGGCAGAAACTAAATGAGTGGCCTCACCAGCTGTGGGCCTGGGGGTATGTGTGCATTCCGTGGCCCCCTTTATAGAGTGCAGCTCAGCTGATCACCTCTCACCCTCCCTCTTCCAGTCTCTGATCACAGCTAAACTTTTGGGGGCAGTTACTAGTCCCTTGCTCTCCAGGGGACAGAGAGTTAAGATGGGGGATATGGATTGGGGATGCAGTGATAGAGGGCTTACCAATGCTCAAGTCCCGGGGCTCAATCTCCAATTCTAAAAGGGGGGTGCTTAACAGCCCTCAAGGGGCAAGGATGCTTGATTCTGCCATTTTCTTTTTCTTTCTTTTTGTGATGCTGGGGATTGAACACAGGGCCTTGTGCATGTGAGGCAGGTACTCCACCAACTGAGCCAGCCCCTAGGGATCCCCTTCCAACCTCAACTTAGGTTGCTTACAGACTATCCTTCCCTGTTACCATGAAGATGTAGGGATTCCCACTCCCCAAAAATCAGATGGAACACATTCAGTTTGGTGAGAGCTGTTCTAAACATTTACTCTCTAGACTGGCTCCTGGATTCTATAGGACTATGTCCCTCCCTGCTGGGCTCCAGCCAGGTGCAGGCTGGGATTCCCCTAACCCACCCCACAATGCCCTCAGTCCAGCCTAGGATTGCTCTCTCTCTCATCCAGGGTAATTTGTCCCAGTGTCTTCAGCCCCCAACTCATATGCTCGCTCAGATATTGTGTCAAACTCATAGTTTGGGCTTCAAGACACGCCTCCTCATGTGAAGTCGTCTTCTTCTGAGTTTAGTAGTATGTCTCCCTCTCCAGCCAGCCTGCGGAGGAGGAGAGATCAGGGTGAACTGCGAGAAGGCAGCAGGGGAGCCTGGCAGAAGGGAAACAAGGAGAAGGTTGGGGGCCTGTGGTCTGGAACATGAACAGGGTGGTGGAGTCAGGGACAAGAGGGCTGGGGTCCAGGCATAGTAAAGTGACATGGGGGATGCCAGTGAGTCCTGAGAAGCCAGGCCTGATGGGAGAGCTTATTAGGGGATGGTGACCCCCTCCTTCAGAACAGGGCTGGGGAGCCTCACCGCCAGGCCATTGACGGATGATGAGTTTCCTGATTTCGTCATAGGCGAAGATAAGAATGCTGTAGGGGAGGGCGCAGAACCACCAGGCTAACCTGTAGAGATCAAGATTTGGCTAATGTGGCTGAAGTTACAGAGGCCGGAAAAGAACACGCTCAGAGGACAACACGCGGGAGTCGCGTGTTTCATGTTCGTGCTCATGTTTCGTGTTCGTGGCTGAGACTGTGCCGGAGACAGTCAGTGAGTAAGATAAAGTTGATTCCCACCTTTGAGGAGGTCAGAGTCTGGGGGGTTAGTGATTGGGCCAATGATAACGCGATAAATGTCATATTCAGAGGTACATCCAGTGTTCACAGGGACTGTCCGTCAACTTTCATGGAACTGCAGAGGGAGATTCCCTTTGCTTTCTTTATGCTCTAGATCTTGAACTTAACAAAGGGGAGGTTGCTGGAGCAGGATGGGTTTATCTGAGACAATCCCCCGACATCTAATATGGAGATATTCTGCCAAGAAAACAAAATAACAAACACACTCACACACACACACATGCACATACACATGCACACACATACACACACATATAGGATTCCATATACATTTGTAAAAATATGTACATATATGTGTATATATAATTTCATATTGCAAAAACAGGGATGTGTTTTTTTCTGCCTGAGCCTATGCCTTTTCCTTTTTTTTTTTTTTTTTTTTTTGGTGGTGCTGGGATTGAACCCAGGGCCTTGCCGTGCTAGGCAAGCACTCTACCAACTCTACCAACTGAGCTAGATCCCCAAACCCCTCTCTTCCATATTTAGAGACCAGGAAGATGCACTCCGGGAAAGGGTGGAATCAGGACCACAGTTGTTCTCTTGGTTGACAAAGTAAAGAGACGACCTACAGCCTCAGCAACTTAGTGAGACCCTGTCTCAAGATAAAAAGGGGCCGGACATGATGCCTCACGCCTGTAATCCCAGCAATTGTGGAGGCTGAGGCAGGAGGACTGCAAGTTCAAGGATAGCTTCAACAATTTAGTGAAGCCCTAAGCAATGTATTGAGAGGTACCTTCTCAAACAAAAAATGAGAAGTTGGGGATAGAGCTCAATGATAAATTGCCCCCTAGGTTCAATCTCCATCACAAAAAAAAAAGAAAAGAAAAGGAATAGTTAAAACCAATGGCACTGCCCCATAGAAATGCAATAGTTTGCTGTGTGTGAAATTTCAAAATTTTTAATAGCCAAATTAAGTAAAAAGAAACAGGTGAAATTAATTTCAATAATTTTATTTAACCCAAGATATCCAAAATATTATGGTATTGACATGTATAATAAATATAAACATTATTGGTGAGAGAGAGAGCATTCTTAATCCTGTCTTGAAACATTTATAGGTATCTTACACTTATAGGACATCTCAACTCAGATACTGAATTTTCAACAATTAAAGGGAAGTTAGTCCAATTAGAATAATAAAGTCATATTTAATAGACAAATATTTAATGTTGCTTTAGTTTTCAACTTTAAATGAACTGAAATTAAAATTATAATTCAGTTCTTCAGAATTAGCCATATTTCAAGAGCTCAGTAGTCGGTCCCCTGTGGATAGTGCCTGCTATATTGGATAGTGCAGGCCCAAGCCATGGCTCATTCTCCACACATGGACACAAGTATAAACTTGATTCTTGTTCACCCATTCATTGAACCACAGTCATATATCTACTCTGCATCTCTGTTAGGAATTGCAGAAATAATGGTTACACGTTAGTCCTCGGCCTCAAGGAGATCAAGAGCATCAGAAAAAATAGGGCAAAGGCACACAAAATAAAGAACCACAATATTAGGTGCTAAGTACTATAGTAAAGGTATATACAGAGTATGTGGAAGCACAGATAATATTCACCTGCAGTTGTTATTACTTCCACATTGACCTATAGCAGCCAGAGTAAAGCTATTATTGACAAAGCATCTGAGGCTGGGGTTAGGGCTCAGTGGTAGAGTCCTTGCCTAGCACATGTGAGGCACTGGGTTCAATCCTCAGCACCACATAAAAATAAATAAAGACATTGTGTCCATCTACAACAACAACAAAAAGCATCTACCATGACCCAAGCATGCTCCATGGTTTATATCCATTTCTCTGAGTAATTCTCAGCCCTCTGCCAGATGTGAATTTAGTGATTTAGTTATTTACAGTATTGAGGATCAAATGTAGGACCTTATATTGGGCATAAGTTCTACCACTGACCTATATCCACAGCGATGCCAGCTATGAATTATTAAGACTTTACAGATGAGCGGGGTGTGGAGGCACATGCCTATAATTCCAGCTACTTGGGAAGTTGAGTCAGGAGGATTGCAAGTTCAAGGTCAGCCTCATTAACTTAGTGAGACCCCCACCCCACCCCCAAAAAAACAAAACAAAAAGCTGGGGATGCTCAGTGGCAGAGCACCCCTAGGTTCAATTCCTAGTACAGCCAACAACAACAAAACCCCTACAGTTTACCAAGGAAAGGTACCAGAAAGTAAGAATTTTATGCACATTAAAATATATTTGTATTAATATAATAGGAGGGGCTGGGGTTGTGGCTCAGCGGTAGAGAGCTTGCCTAGTATGTTCAAGGCCCTGGGTTCGATCCTCAGCACCATGTAAAAATAAATAAATAAAATAAAGGCAATGTATCCAGCCACAACTAAAAAATAAATTAAAAAAATACAACGGGATTTAGCTAAGCCTAGATTATGCTATTTTTATGATTATTTCAGCTCTAAGAAATATGTATTTTTGCACAACTATGCCTCATATCATTGGAATAAAAGAGTCCACTCAGTTAAACACTGGTAAGTCTGCTAAATTTGCACATCTTGTGGCTTGTGATCACTTGGCACAGTCCCTAACACCTCCCTAAGTGAAATCTATTTATCAGAGAACAGATGACTCTCTCCCGAAGTGACGGAGTGTAGCCCCATATATCCAGCAGCCGCTAGTTGGTGACTGTCCTGTTCCAACACACCCTTCCTCCCACTTCCTCTCTCATGCTCTCTCTGTGCCCGGAGAATCAATTCCCTGCTTGAATCCCTTTCTTTACTCACTTGAGTGGGTACATTCGCAGGGCCACGTCCATGCCTGGAGTGTAGGACAGAAAAGCGGCCAGGAGTGTCTCCTCCAGGATCCCGAATATTAGAACCTTGTTTCTGGGAAGAAACATTTATGACTGATCTGGAGACAAGGAGGAAAAGGCAGGGGAAATGGCTCGTCTCTGTGTGAGTTTGGGGTTGTTGGGGCATTTGGTGGATGCTCACTTCATGCCCTGCTGGAAGACGGAGTTGTGGCGGGTCTTGCAGATGATGAGGTCAGCCCACTGCACAACCACGATGCTGGCAAAGAAGGCCGTCTGGCATGTGAACTCCACCACCTTCCGCTGCTCATAGGTCTGGGGAGGGCAGCAGAGTGACACCTCAGTGTCAGAGGTGCTTAGATAACCCAAGACTCCTTTTCTCTCCTGCTTTCAGGACCCATAGGCTGAATTACTTTCTTTCTCTTTAAACACCACTTTTCTCTGCTTTAGCACCTTTATATTGTCCTGTGATCTGTTAATGTGCTTTCTTACTTGACTGAGAACGTCTCAAAAACAAGGACCTGGGAGCTGGGGACTTGGCTTATGATACAGCACTTGCTAGCATGCACAAGGCCCTGGGTTCAAGAGCCAGCATCAATGGGGGGAAAAAAAGAAAGACCTGGTCTTATTTATCTTTTCCCTCCCCATGTACAGTTCATGGCTCGATAAATATTTATTAAATTATTAAGGGACTGGGGTTGTGGCTTAGTGGTAGAGTGCTTGCCTAGCAATGCATGAGGCACTGGGTTCGATCCTCAGCACCACATAAATGTAAAATAAAGATATTGTGTCCACCTAAAACTTAAGAATAAATATTTAAAAACAATTATTAAGAAGTATCTTATGGGGCTGGGGATGTGGCTGAAGTGGTAGCGTGCTCGCCTGGCATGCGCGGGGCACTGGGTTCGATCCTCAGCACCACATAAAAAATTAAAAAATAAAGATGTTGTGTCCACCGAAAACTAAAAAAAAATTAAAGAAATTCTCTCTCTCTCTCTTAAAAAAAAAAAGAAGAAGAAGTATCTTGTAGAGGAAGAGGAACTTAGGACAGCAGAGCCAGAAAGGAAGGTAGGGCCAGAAAAGCAATATGAATGCAGAGGGGAAAGGAATGCCCCAAATAGTGGTGGACAAGAGATATTCACTTATTCATTCCACGCATTTTATATACACAAATAACTTAGAGACTCTGGGTGCAGGGGCACATGCCTACAATTCTAGAGACTTGGGAGGCTGAGGCAGGAGGATTCCAAGTTAAAAGCCAGCCTCAAAAACTTAGAGAGATCCTATCTCAAGAAAACAAAACAAGGGAGCTGGGGATGTGGCTCAAGCGGTAGTGCAGCCCAGGTTCGATCCTCAGCACCATATACAAACAAAGATGATGTGTCTGCCAAAAACTAAAAAATAAATATTAAAATTCTCTCCCCCCCCGACTCTCTCTTAAAAAAAGAAAAGAAAAGAAAAGAAAGAAAACAAAACAAAAATGGGCTAGGGACCTAGCTCAGAGGTAGAAACTTTCTGGGTTCAATTCCCAATACTGTAAAGAACTTAGAGACTAGTGGGAGACATAAGTATGCTAATTATGCCAGTACTATAATAGAGTATAAAAGAGAAAGCACACAGGGCTGCAGAAACCCAGAAGAAGTACATCTAAATTAGACTCGAGGAGAAAAGAAGAGTATAATAAAAAAAAAAGCATGTTTATAAATAACTCATATATCAAATAAGAAATTTGAGAATATATAAGACCACACAAGAATGAGATACTACATATCAGACCACATGAGATATGGTTGAACTTGTGCTTGGAGAAAAATATAAAACTTTAAATGATTGAAAACGAAGGCTGAAAGCTGATGAGCCCAGCATAGAATTTAGATAAGATCAGTGGGTATGTTCACGTGCACCGGATGACACACCAGCTATCCTTCAGGGTAGTCATCTTTCTCACCTATATAATGTCCCATCCTTTCTTGTTCTGTTTTTTCAGCACTAGGAATTGAACCCAGAACTTTGTGCATGTTAGACAAGCCTCAGCCTCCCAAGTTGCTGGGAGTAGAGGTGTGCATCACCACATCCAGCCACAGTTAAACTCTAGAAGCCAAGGTGTATGAAGGGCATCTTTCCAACAACTCAGATTTGAGTAGACTTTTGAGAAACCTTCAGTTAGCTTAATTGAGGTGTCATGGTGAAGTGGGAAAGTGGAGGACAGGCATCAACAGTCCAGATGTCTAGTCCCGCTCTTGTAGGGATTCTCTGTAGGACACCGAGTAAGTCATTACACTTCCTAGATTCAGTTTCCTCACTTATAGACTAAATCATAGACTAAATATCCCTTGAGATGCTGTAATTCTTGTGCTAATTGGTGTCTTATGGTCTTAGGAGTTGGAATGGGAATGTCTACAGTTGAAAAAAAAAAAAACAATAACCAGAGTATATATTGTTACATTGTGGGCAGGTATGAATATGTAACAACAGAGCCCACCATTATATATAATTACAATGCACCAATTTTAAAAAATCAGCATGTTTCATAAAATTCTTGAATGGGAATAAGGCTTCAGTTTGAGCCTCATTCATCTTGGATATAAGGGGAAATTACTACAGAGCTACCCTCTAGATTTAAAAAGTTTGGAAAGATTATGTGCATATATGAATATAAAATCTCACTTTTATGCACAATTATACTGTATTAATAAAAAAAGAAGAAAGAAGTTTAGAATGATGAGGAATGAGTATCCAAAGAATATAGGTTTTCAGATTTTAAGTCATACTATTTGAACTCTTATGGTGGGAGGGTTGAAACAGGAGAGGACCCAGCATTCATTTGGGGAAAAATTCTGGTTAAAACCTGGAAATACACAAATTGGTCCAGAAAAAGTTGATATGACAAAGAAGACCTCCAGCTCCAAAGGAGCCCAAAAGACTAGGAAGGTAAGGATACACAACAGATAGCAGGAACCAACAGAAATTAGAGCATTATAGGACTGGGGCTCAGTGGCAGAGCACTTGCCTAGCATGTGTGAGGCACTGGGTTTGATTCTCAGCACCACATAAAAAAGTTAACAAATAAAATAAAGGCATGCTGTCCACACACAACTCCAAAAAAAAAAAAAAAAAAGAAAAAGAAAAAGAGAGAAAGAAAATTAAAAAAAAAAGAAATTAGGGCATTATAAATAAAGAGAAGAATTTTGCTGTTGTGATTGGAAATATGGTCAAGCAGATCACTAAGTCAGGACTGGAGATGAGGTATCAACTCTGTTTGGTGCCTCCCCTTCTATCACCCTTCAAAGATGCTCTTCCAGTTGGGTGCAATGGCTCATCCTTATAATCCCTGGGACTTGGGAGGCTGAGGCAGGAGGATCACAAGTTCAAAGCCAGCCTCAGCAATTTAGTGAGGCCCTAGGGAACTCAGTGAGACCCTGTCTCTAAATAAAACAAAAAAAGTGCTGGGGATGTGGATCAATGGTTAAGTGCCCCTGGATTCAATTCCTGGTACCAAAAAGAAAAAAAAAAAAAGCTCTTTCCTGTCCCTACCTCATTCTTGGTCACTGTCTACCACCCCACCTTGTCTACTCACCCACTGCTGTCCGTAGCTGTCCTCCAGGTCATTTACGGAGCGATCATCCCATTTCAGGCGGATACCCAGCAGATCAAAAGGTTTAAAGCCATTTTCGGCCAAGATCACAAAGTAGGTGAAGAATCCTGCTAGAGCCTGGATCATCCCTGTGTGTGAAAGAGTCACAGGCCTGGGGAACCTGGTTCCGAGGACCCCCAAAGGCAGACCACAGAAGGGGCAGGGGCAGAGGTTGACTTCCAGCTGGGTTGATAAGTGTCTATGCAGTAATGAAGATTCTTGCCACCAACCATCTGATCCTATCATCCCTGGGTGGCTTGTTGCCGAACCCTGACATTCGTTTTTTTTTTTTTTTTTTTTTTTTAATATTTATTTATTTTTTTTAGTTTTCAGTGGACACAACATCTTTGTTTGTATGTGGTGCTGAGGATCGAACCCGGGCCGCACGCATGCCAGGCGAGCGTGCTACCGCTTGAGCCACATCCCCAGCCCGTGACATTCGTTTTTGACACAGAGTCATTTTTTTAAAAAATATTTTTTAGTTGTAGGTGTACATTATGCTTTTATTTTGTTTATTTTTTATGTGGTGCTGAGGATCGAACCCAGTGCATCAAACATGCTAGGCAAACACACTGAGCTACAACCCCAGCCCCAGAGTCATTTTTGAATCACATAATCTTAAGACTAATAAGGACTATTTGGTGATGGCTGGACTCCTCCTTGATCATTTCTCTTGGACATTTGGACGCTTACCAAGTTTTATTCTCTTCTCACATCTCTGCCATCCGCCCTTTGCCTGTCCCTTCATCAAAACTTCTGTCCTCCATGCCTGGACCACAGTGATAGCTAACATTGATGTTTACCTCCTAACAACAGGGCTGTGCACTTCCTATGCACCTTATGGATACAGATCCTCACACCAATTTTGAACTATTGTCTATAATTCGTAAGTGGGAAGCTAAAACACAGAAGATTGTCATTGTCTAGAGTCATTCAGGTAGTAAGTGGTGGAATTGGGATTCAAACATATGTCTGATTGCTAAGTCTATGCTTTTTCTCCATCTCTCCTCCCCTAGGTATTGGGATGATCTCTCTCATCCCCAATCTCTTCCCTGTCCATCCCTCACACTACTACCTGAAACTCTCGACTATGGCAACTCAAGAACAAAGACGTCCCATGCACTCAAATGTCTTTCAAGGTTTGCTGCAATAAAATGCTTCCTATGTTTGCAGCCTTATTCTCTATGAAGACTAAGAGTGCCAGCAAACTGGTTTAATTCACTCTTCTCTAGCCATACCACGTGAACTTCCTATCTCTGCTGGTCCCCCGCACCTGACCATAGGCACGTGAGTCTAAGGGCTGGACTCCAACGCCAAGTTAAGTTCTATTTCCTCCATAAGACTTCTCTGACTATCTCATAGTCGGTGAGTTTGCTTGCTCGTGTTTGTTCCTGTAGCCTGGTAGGGCTACGCTCTCCTTGTTACTCAGCCCATGGAAAGATGCTATCATCTTATGTAGATTTGTTCCTTTTGTACTAGACTCTCAGTCAAGGGCAGATCAGCAGATCAGCCATCCACAGTTCTTGGTGTCCCCAGGGCCTTCTAGAGAACATATCTCCCAGACTGGCTCAGATGGCGAGGCAGAGACAATTGCTCCCTTCTCCCTTCACCCCTCACTCCTTGGGCTCACCAATCTGTCCATAGGCCATGCCAATGAGACGATGGTTCACCAGATTATCAGTCTTTGGGTTCCGTGGGTGCCTCTTCATGATGTCACTTTCCGCTGTCTCATAAGCCAAGGAGATAGCTGGGAACTGGAGGATGGGAATGACAGGGCCCCCAAGTTCAAAAGGAGACTCACAAGTAACTCCAGCTCCACCCTCCTCACTTGACATGGGTTTTTCTCTACTCCTGATCCATCTCACAAGAGTTCCAAGAGCTGCGTCCCAGCTGGCTCCTCACCATATCAGTGCCCAGGTCAATGCAGAGGATGGTTATTGTCCCTAGTGGTAGCGGAATACTGAGGATGATGAACAGCAGGAAGGGGGTGATCTCAGGGATGTTGCTGGTCAGGGTGTACGCGATGGATTTCTTCAGGTTGTCAAAGATGAGGCGGCCTGCGGGGGACAGTGAACTCTCTGTGAGAAGCACAGAGAAAGGACAGACCTTCCCCTAACCAACTCCTGGACAGAGAGACCATAAAAGAAGTGCTATGGTCCCTGAAAAGATTGGGAGTTCAAAGTAGACCCTGGTGGTCCCAGTTTCCTTTCTAAATTGTGTGACGATTATTTATTTACTTATTTATTTCTGTGGGTTTCGTAGATGACTCTTCATGATGTGGTACCTGAGATTGAACTCAGGGCCACTCTACCACTGAGCTACATTCCCTGTCCTTATTTTTAAAATTTGAAACAGGGTCTTGGCTAAATTTCCCAGGCTGGTCTCCAATTTGCAATCCTCCTGCCTCAGCCTCCCAAATTGTTGGGATTACAGTTATACACCACTACACAGAATTCTTGTGTGACTATTAATTAGAATCATGATTTATTTGCGTGCCCTTAATGTGTACTCTTTGTTCTTGGATTCAAAATGGTTGATGTTATCTGATCTTTGAAAATTAAGCGGGGTTGGGCCTAGTTAATCCTGAATATCTGAGAATGCCAGTATTAAGGACTTTAAAGGTCTAAGGCGAAAGTGGAAAGAGCCCAAGTCTGGGACAGGCTTGGGTTTGGGTCTCATTTTCTGACATAACTAGCTTATGACCTTGGGTGCCCCTTATCCCTCTGAGCATTATTCCTCTTGCCTTGCAAGATTGCGGAGTCCTTCTCTGAGTACCTGTCAAAGATTATAATCCTTCCCTGCTGTATTTTTTTACGTTTATTTTTAGGACTGGGAACTAAACCCAGGGGTGCTTACCACGGAGATATATCCCCAGCCCTCTTTACTTTTAATTTTTTTAATTTGAGTCAGGGTCTCTAACTTGTGATCCTTCTGCCTCAGCTTCCCGAGTAGCTGGGATTACAGATGTGTCATTGCACCCAGAAGATAATCACTATGATTATGTGGATCATCATGTTTTAATAAGAGAGCTTTAGGCAGACAGCACAGAGGCTGGGATTCAGCATTCCGGGGTTCTCTAGTTCACCAATGGGCATTCTTTTTAGATTTCTCTGGGAAAAAGGGAGCTTAATTAGGTTCATGAAGTCAATTCATAGGTAGTCTCTATAACCTCTTTTGTTGTGTCATCATCATTCAGGCAGGAAGTTCTTTTGGGGACCCTTCTGGAGATTGTAACAGAGTACAGCCTCATCTTGCTGTAAACACACTTGAATCCCAACGATAGAACAAAAAAAGTACTTTGCTATACCAGAGTCCCAGTCTCCCTGGCAAATCTGCACTTTATTCCAATCTCATTTAAAAAGTGACATTCTAAGTATCAGCTGACTCTAATTTGCAAAATATTATCATACAGTGATTTTATTTATTTATTTATTTGCATGGAGATGAGATGATGGGCAAAGGGAATGATGTCATATACACCAACACCTATCTGAGTCTAAGGGTCAATCCCAACCCTGGGCACCCTGCCTCCTTACCCTCTTCCACGCCTGTGACGATGGAGGCAAAGTTGTCATCCAGCAGGATCATGTCGGCCGCCTGCTTAGAGACGTCAGAGCCAGTGATGCCCATGGCGATGCCAATGTCAGCCTTCTTCAGCGCAGGGGAGTCGTTCACCCCGTCACCTGTCACCGCCACAACGGCTCCCTAGAGAAATCCAGAAAGAGGAAGTGAACACTCTACTGTATTAGATTTAGGATCAATCCCAAAGTTCAGTTTGATTTCAGCACCTCATTTCTTTTTCTTTTTTTCCTTTTGAAGTGGGGATCTTGCTATGTTGCCCAAGCAGGGCTCAAACTCACTCCTGCCACCTCAGTCTCCCAAGTAGTTGGAATTACAGATGAGAATCCCATTGCTTCATGGACTCATGCCTGATCTAGGCATCTCAGCCACTCTCTTTTCTGTTCCCCTGAGATATTTAAGCCCAAACCAAAGGCCACTGTGGAGGTTCAATATGGGGATTTACTTAAAGGAGTTTTTCCTCTAGCCCAGCCCACAGGTTCCCCTGCTTGGTCTGGGGTTGGGCTCTTCCCCCATGATTTCTGCAGGGTGCCCCAGGGCTCCTTACCAGCCTCTGACAACCCTCCACAATGTTGAGCTTCTGCTGAGGGGAGGTCCGAGCAAACACGATCTCCGGGTGGTTCTGGAGGATCCTGTCAAGCTGTTCTGAGTTCATGTTCTTTAGGTCTGCGCCATGGACCACTATGGCTGTGACATTCCTGCAGGAGAGGATTTCAACAGGCTAGTTCTGGGTTGGAAATTCACCGCAGGGCTGGTGCCCTCTTACCAACCCTTCCTCGAAATGCCTCGATTCTTTTGACCCAGTCTCTTCACTTGTCGCCAGCATTCACTGTCCCCCAGATGACACATTCCATCCCCTCTCCCTTTCTGACAATTTCTCCTTTCTTCTTCTTCTTTTTCCTTTTTCCTGATCCCTCTGAAAACTCACTGACACATTCCCTTGGTTGTTTCCTTATTATGTTTTCCTTTGTAAAGTGTAAACCCCACAATCCTACCAACTGAAATTGACTTCAAGAACTTTAGGAAGTGGGATCTGGGTGGGGCAAATTATGGAGGGCAGATCTGAGTTCCAAAGGGGTCTCACCTGGTATCCACCTGGCTGACGGGGATGTTAAGCCGGGCAGCAATGTCCTCTGCTGTCTCTGCACCTTCTGAGATGATGCCCACACCCTTGGCAATGGCCTTGGCTGTAATGGGATGATCTCCTGTTACCATGATCACCTGGGTCGGGGAGGGGAGGGAAGAGAAGCAGAATCATCTTTAGAGAAGCCCTGGATCCTTCTTCTGGCTCCCCCAGGAATAACAGTGTTCTACTTTTATTCAATAAGGGTTTTAGTAGCTCATCCCCCAAGAACTTGGTATATAGACCAAACACCTTGCTTCTGTGACTTCAGCCCTTGGGAGTGAGTCAGGGCTAGCAGACCATAAAACACAGGATGATTCAGGTTCTAGAATTCCCAGGAATAAGTCAGAGATTTGGGTGTAAACCTATATTCAGAATTTCATTTAATTTCTGCAGAAGCTACCCTGCTTCCTTAAGCACCAAGACAGGAACACCTACACATAGAACAAGTGGTAATAGAGGAATGTCTGGAATAACCCACCTGCCTAGCACAGTTTCATGTACATTCAGGTCCTCACTCCTGCCTCTGTCTCCCACTCCTCACTCTGCCACTGAGTTTCAACTCACCTTTGGCTACCTGGTACCTAGTCCTGTCCCACTGCCACCTAAAGATGACCTGCCCATGCTCTGTGGTTTGGTGGCACTCTGTTCTTTCCCACATTTCAGCACTTATCACTTTTCTATGTCATAATCACTTGTTCCCTTTCCATCACTGGACTGAGAGCTCTGTGAGGGGAAAACGCTTGTTAAGTTTTTTGCTCCGGCACAAGGCACAGCACATAGTAGGCCATCAACCAATAACCCTGGACTGGGGGAATGAAGGAATGATGGGTACCTGGGAACCACAAGAGCCTTCCAGGCACACAAGTTTTCAAGCTCTCATGGGAGGTAAGAAGAAACCATCTGATTGAGTAAATTGTCTACCGCATTCAAGAATGGAGATCCTGCAGAGGTTAGTCTATTTGCTTTCAAAGTATGGAAATAAGACTTGCAGAAGCATTCCCCCAAGGAGGAGGGCTTTGTGAGCCCTTATCATTCCATATTGGCACCCCTGACTTCCTGGAAGAAGACAACAAAGTGCTAACGAGGCTGTGGTAACCACACACAGTTCAATTGCACTGAGCTTTAACCCATGACCACCCATGTCAAGTATCCTGGTGGGTTGAAGGGCCCTGGATCCTCACAGCCTTGGCCTGTGGGGAGTGCCTGATAGCAGATGAGACCTGGGACAAAAGTCGGTCCTTGGGGGCTAGGGATATACCTCAGTTGGTAGAGGTATATCCTAACATTCACAAGGCCCTGGGTTCAATCCCCAGCACCCCCACCACCACCAAAAAACAAAAAGTCTGTTCTCTATATGTGGTTCAGAGGGAGCCCTTAGTGATGCCATTCCAACTTACAGGGCCCTGCAAGCTTCCCAGTGGCTCCCAAGATCTGTTGGACAAGGTGTCATATCATCCTCATACAATCCTAGAACCTAGCTCATTTGATCCTTTAAATGGACTGTTCTTAGTAACTTGCAGCAATACCACCTCCACCTCCATTCCAGGCCTGAGAAATAGTAATACTAAGTCAATCACCCCAAGAGAGAGTTCCTGGGACACAATTCCACCAAGCACTGAGATACATTCATACAACAGAGGCATAGTTCTGGGGAGAGTGGCTCATCTAGCAGTTTCTGGAATTCATCCAGTACTGAAAGAATTTCATTTCTAACTTCTTGGTACTGACTCTATCTCTGATGTTCCCCTTCAGTCCCCCTAGCTGCCTGCTCTTTATCCTTCTACCCTCTTCCCTCAGATTAGATCTATCTGAGGAAAACTACCCAGGGTTGGTAAGGAAACCAGAGGCTCTCACAACAACATTGAAAGCCTGGCTGTAGTTCTTAGAGGGGGCCAGGTTCTTTGCAAGGGCCAAATGTTCATAGTACTGACATACTGCTATACAGATATTTAATGAGAACATTTTCAATTATTTTTCTCTCTCTCTCTCTCTCTCTCTCTTTTTTTTTTTTGTGGTACTGAGGAATGAACTGAAGGATACTCTACCTTTGAGTTCCATCCACAGCCCCTTTTCATTTTTTAAATTTTGAGACAGGGTCTTCCTAAGTTGCCAAGGCTGGCTTTGAACCTGTGATCTTCCTGCCTTAGCCTCCCAAGTTGCTAGGATTCTAGGCATGTGCCACTGTGCCTGGCATTTTTTTAATTTTTAAAAATCACATTTATCCTCAAGTTGTGAGCACAAGGCAGCCTGGGAGACTCAGTCCCTGAATCATCTCCTTGTCAAAACTTTGCTCTCATGTGAACATGATGCAACCACTTTTCAGCACCATGCATGTCTTGTACTTTCCTATATGGAAGATGATGCCAGTTTAGGGTCCAGAAGAAAGTAAGAAATTGCAGTAGGGACCTGTAAATTTGTGACCAACAATTGGCCAGAGAGCACTGAGGTCTCCTGCTTCAGCTGCCAGCTCACAGCCAGCCCTGGAAGTCTTGAAGACCATCATGCACTGAGTGCCTCGGGCTGTGACAACATCCTGATTTGCTAGACATCCTGACTGTTACCCCTGTGTTCCTTGTTAGGGCCTCCTCACCTGTCAGCCCAATTGTGACTGTTCTTACTAAAAGGATCCATAAACTCCCAGATGAGATACATTTTAGGTTTCATCCACAATGTGATTTCTTATTTGAAGAATCTCATCACAAATGGGATTAAAAAAAATTAGAATTTTTTTTCCCTGTATTGCAAATTGAACTCAAGGACGCTCTACCATGCAGCTACAGCCTCAGCTCTTTTTGTTTTTATTTATTTGGGGGGACTGGGAATTAAATCCAGAGGGGTTTTACCACTGAGCCATGTCCCCAGAGCCTTTTTTTAATTTTTATTTTGAGACACAGTCTTGCTAAATTGCCCAGGATAGCTTCCAACTTGTGATCCTTTTTCTTCAGCCTCCCGAGTCGCTGGGATTACAGGCATGCACCATTGCACCCAGCCCAAAGCTTAGAAAATTCAAATCAACCCCAACTTCCACAATGAAATGGTGGTTTATAGAACCATGGGGGAATAGCAAGGTAATCTGGTTATTCCATGCAGACATGCCATAACAATGCTATCTCTGCAAAAAACTTACTACCTCAGAAACCTTATAGTGATTCATTCACAATAATTTCCCACATCCTTTCTTTTGTTCCCACTCTAGCGACCAGTCATTGAACTTAAACATGGCCCCAGATGACCCCTAGAAAAACTGCCAACAGTCAGAGGTCTCATATGAATCTAGTTCCAACAGAGAACATTTAATCCATCTTAAATACCTCCAACCCCTCTACGCTAACCTGCCCTCCCCCAAGTCTAGGACCCAGAATATGTAAGTGATCTAAAACATAAGGTATGAGCAGAAAATATCTAATCTGTGAATGCGTATGTGAATCTTTGAGCCAGAAAAATGTGGGATACACAGAATTTCAGAATTAGAGGAATTCTACTGCTGTCATCCCATATGAAGTCCAAGGCCCACCCTGACCAAAGAGGACTTTTCAATACTTAGGTTTGTTTTGCAGCTGAGTTTCATCCTTGGACCAATTAATTTTCATTTCTGGCTTTTACTCCTGGACATAAACCAGTTAGGACAGCTGCTCACTCTGAGTCAGACCCACTGAGGTCCCCCTAGTTCTCATTATCTCATCTCACTATTGCCTGCTCCAGACTCCCAACCCCCTTAGCCTCACCCTCTTACCACCCATTCCATAAGTGTATTTATACCACATCTTCTAGCACTTTGCTCCTCCTAGTGTAGTTTACAGACCGGCAGCAGCAGCAGCAGCAGCAGCAGCAGCTTTGAGGAGTTTGTTTAACATGTAAAAGGTCCAGGTGCCCTAAATCTATGAAATAAGATCTGCATTTCAAAACAACCCCTAAATGATTCACATGTACACGAGTTTGAGAAGCACATGCTGGAAACTTGTCTGCTCAATGGGTTTTTGTTTTGTTTTGTTTTGGTACCAGGGATTGAACTCAGGGGTACTCAACCACTGAGCCACATCTCCAGGCCTTTTTAGTATTTTATTTAGACACGGGGTCTCACTGAGTTGCTTAGGGCCTGGCTAAGTTGCTGAGGCTGGCTTTGAGCTCACGATCCTCCTCTGCCTCAGCCTCCCCATCATTAGGGTTCTGAAGAAAGATTTTTAATAAATAGAGATGCCTAGTGCCTGGGATCCATCCTGAGAGTTTCTAATTTAATAGGTCTGGGTGTGGCCTAGATTTGTCAACCTTTCCTGGTGATTCTAAAGGCTCATTGTAACATAGAATTCTAGCTACAGAGGCAACTTAGTGTTACATAGCTCTTAAGACTAAAAATCTCTGAAGCTCAACTGGGCATGGTACATGCCTGTTGTCCAAGCTACTTGGGAGGCTGAGGCAAGAGGATCACTTGAGTCTATGAGTTCCAAATCAGCCTGTTAACAGTGAGATCCTGTCTCAAAAAACAAGCGAACACCCACCCCTCAAACAACAACAACAAAAATGATAAGCTCTCGGAGGCAGAGCTTATAATTAAATCAAGATCATTAAACACCTATTCTGTGCAAGGCTTTCTACTAGCTGCTCCAACTTGTGACAGGTGAGGGTCTTCTGGAGTGGGCAGGTATTTATTTACCTTAATCCCTGAACTACGACACTTGCTCACAGCATGTGGAACAGCTGCCCGGGGAGGGTCAATCATGGATATGAGCCCCACAAAACACAAAGTGTCCATAGGAAAATTTATCTCATCTGTATTAAATTGGAATCCCTTGGAGAAGCTGTTAGGCAGGTTGCAGAAGCAGAACCCTGGAGAGAGACAGGAGACCAGTAGTTATCTCTCTATTTCCCTTTTCCCACACACCCCAACATCCTAGACTGTTCACTCCACAAAAATCATCTCGATGCTATTCCTTCCAGGGGGGTCCTCCCAGCGCCTCACCCAGCACACGTTCCCCCATGCCTCCCAGTTCTAAGTAGGCCTTTTGGAAAGCAGTCCTCATTTCATCATCTATTGGGTACTCTTGGCCATTCAGGAAGAAAGTAGAGCACAACTCCATGATCTTCTCAGGAGCACCTTTCATCATCAGTACGTGGGCCTGGGAGCTGTCCTCCCGAAGGTGGATGGACAACTAGGGAGGAGACAGGAAGCAGAGATGGGATAGGAGAAGAGAGCCAGAGTCAAGGGCAAAAACCAAGAGGAAGGTTTACAAGGTTAAAAACATTAAAAACTAACAATTAATGTGTGTATATATATATATATATATATATATATATATATATATATATACACACACACACACAACTGGTTTCACATGACATTTCCTTCCTTTGGCCCCCATTGCCCCAGTCAAATTGGGCTCAAAATTGAGCCCAGAGGCCCTTTCCAGGACCCCCCACACTAGTACTATTTGTACATGAATCTCCATTACAGCAAGACTCTGATGTTCCCTCTCTCTTTTACACAGGGTCTCACTAAGTTGCCCAGGCTGGCCTTGAACTTGTGATCCTCCTGCCTCCTGAGTAGCTGAGATTAGAGGTGTGTGCCACCATGTCCAGCTAGACTGGACCTCTCTGAAGGGCTCATTTGCATTCTTCCTGATTCCTTGCTGATTGGATGGCTCAAGAGCAGAAACAGCAGAGCTGTCAAAGAAACACAGCCAGGCAGGCAGAAAACTTTTAAGAGTCCAAAGACCTATGTTCTAGGGCCAGCATGAATGCCTTATTAGTAGCTTCATGAATCCAGGTCAACCTACTTGACCTTGCAAAACCTTTGTTCCTTCCATAAAATGTAAAAGGTTCTGCTTTGCCTGCTCCAGTGAGTTTTTATGAGAGAGAGTTATGAAAAACACTTTGAGTCTGTCATCTCAGCTACAAGGGAGAGTGAGGCAGGACCATCCCAAGTTAGAAGCCAGCTTAGGCAATTTGGCAAGCCCCTGTCTCAAAATAAAATAAAAAGGGCTGGGGATAGAGTTCACTGGTAGAGCACTCTCCTGGTATGCTGGAGGCCGGCCCTAGTTTAATCCCCAGTATCATACAAAATAAATGAACACATAAAAAATAACAATAAAAAATAAATTTTAAAATTGTGAAATTTTTTTTTAGGTTAGGCTTCCCAGTCCTGTAGCTGCTGAACTAAAGGTGAGAAGTCCCCTGAGAGGGGCTACTAGAGATGGGATGTAGGGTGAGGTGGGGCAGAGAAGGGGCATATTCGTGAGGTGAACCTGAGGAGATTACAGCAACCAGGAGAGACCCATAAGATCAGCTTAGATTTTGCATTTTCTCTTGATCTCTGATGTATGAAAAGGAACTCTCTCTGGGGTTCCTCTTGTGAGTGATAGGAAATGCTTGCTATATTGCCTGTTGGGAACAAAGTCAGCCCATTGAAAGGAACTGTGGGAGTGTGGGGGAGGCCAGACTGCACGCTCAAAGGACAAGCAGGGTGGGAAACCAGTGTGTAAAGTGTGGTTACAACCGTTCAGTTCCAGACTGCTCAGTTCATGTCAAAATATGCTTAAGCAGTTAACAGGAAAACCCATGTTTAAGCAGAAAGCTATAAAAGGATTTAAAAGCTCAATTTTCCGAGTGCTCAATAAATATTTGTTGAATGAGTTGAAAGGTTCAGAGGTGAGAGCAAGACCTATTTAAGCTAGTAACTTGGTCACAAAAAATTAAAAAAAAAAATCACTTTTTTTCTCAGCACTGGGGATGGAACGCAGGGGTCCTCTACCACTGAGCTGTACCTGAAACCCTTTTTATTTTGATTTCTTTTTTCTTTCTTTCATGGTGTGAGGGATGGAATCTGGGTTTCACACATGGTAGGCAAGTGCTCTACCACTGAGCTACATCCCCTTACTTTTCATTTTGAGACAGGGTCTCACTAAGTTGCCCAGGTTGGCCTGAACCTTTGATCCTCCTGCCTCAATCTCCCGAGTTGCTGAGATTTTAGGCATGCACCACCACGCCTGGCAAAAAATCACATCTTGAGAGAAGATTATAGATAGAGAAGATGAAGGGAGAAAGCTGGAAATACCAGGGCAGAAGGTCTGTTTCATATCATCTCCATCTCAGGCAGGGAAAGAAACCAAGCTTTGCAAACGACCAGCAGACTAAGATGTTCTTTGCAAAGACTAGAGTCAGCTAATTGAAACAGCTAATTCAGAGCCTCCCAGAGAAAATTGGCTTGTCACATGTGGTGTACCTCAGAGGACCGTCCTGCCGTTTGAATTTGATATTCAGTATCTCAGAAGAAGCTAATAGTAGTCATTTTAGGGAACAACGCTATTTGTTGAACACACAACATTGTTTGTGAATAGGTTTTGATTTTATTTTGAATCACATTGGAGGGAGAGATACTTAATTCTTTCCAAAGGATTTACTCAGGCCCTGCCAAGCCACAAAATTTCTGTCTGGTTAGTGAGGCCATCAAATGCTAGAAAAAATAAAAATAAAAATGATGCTTGCAGTTTGGGCCTGGGAGGCCTATTTTATTACACTGACTGAAAACCAGTCAAGACGGGAAGTATATGGATCTATATAACTTTTATTTGATCAGTGTTCAATATGAAGATATAGATAAATTGGGTTTTAAAAATCTATGTAGATTGTATTGTTTTATTACTATTATTATTTATTTACTTACTTATTTATGGTATTGAAGATTGAACCCAGGGGCACTCTACTACAGAACTATATCCTCAACTTTTAAAATTTTTAAAATTTGAGACTATCTCATTAAGCTGCCAAGGTTGGCCTTGGACTTGTGATCCTCCTGCTCCAGCCTCCTGGGTAGGTAGCTACTGCATGTTTTTAAGACAGAAAGACATAACTGAATTTCATCTCTCCTGCTACCCGCACCTGAATGGGCTTTATGGCAGTACAGAGAGTTGGGGAACCTGCTCCTTCAAACCAGTCAGGATAGTGTCCATAGAATCCAGACCCCACTAGGAGAGTTAGAATCATGGTAAAGCCACCCACTGTTCTCTGCTTTCTACTGGAACCTTCTCTTCAACATCTGCCAGAATTCTCACTTGGCAGAGAAATACTCTTTCCTGTCCCTCTATGGGTTTTATTGTTTGTACGGTGACTGTCCCTCATTCAGCCTTTCCTTTTCTATTGTTTAGTTCTCCCTGTAGAATTGATAAAAATGTTCCCAGGAAATGAAAAACTTCACAACAATATTGGAGACGCGATGGCCTACCTGATGCTGCAGCAGTCATGGAGTGAATGGAAAGATCGATGGCTAAGGAAACCCAACACTTTGCAAGCACGACCTTATTCTACAGTGGGAAACCTCACAGTGGACCCAGGTACTTCCACGTAAAAGCCACGAGTGACTCTAACGTGACTTTCACCCAGCAGCAGCCTTTGCTACTTCCTCTGCTCCTGATGCTGGTTCTCCTGAGCCGTTCCACTGCTCAGAGGTGAAGTTGAAGGCCAAGGCCAAGCTCCCCCTTGCCTCCCTCACCCATCCTTCACCACCATTCTCCTACCTTGGTTGGTTCTGTACCTGGTACTTGTTGGTAGAATTAAAGGGAATCTCTGCTACTTTGGGGTACTTCTCTCTCATCTCCTTCACTGAGCCGTAGGACTGCTCGATGAACTTGAGGAGGGCTGACTCAGAAGCATCCCCTGTTGTTTCCCGCTGCCAGGATGGGTGGTACAGTCAACCCCAGGAACATGCCACCTGGGTGCGGGGCTGGCCTGAGGCCACAGGGAGAGGGGCAGAGTGGGGACGGACGGGCAGGTGTCTGGGGGAAATCACTGAGTGCTAAGAAAGAGATTTGGGGGCGGAGAGGGCAGATGATACCCTGCACACCGAGGTACCTCTTCCCCCTTAGGCCTGACACCTGAGCTATGGGCAGGGTTTCTTGATGAGCTTTAAAGTCTGCCCGATTGCAGAGGCCAGCGATTTGGGCCAAGATAATCCAAGTATCAGAGTCCTTGGCAAATGTTTCCCCTAGGGAGAAAGAAGGAAAGAACTGTGAACAGGGCACAGTTAAAAGCAGGGGATTATTCACATCCTGTTCTGTACCTAAATACTGCCCAAAAGTGACATTTCTTTCCCACTATACCTCCCTTCTCTCCGCTCCACTCTCTTGAAGCTCTCTCCTCTTTGTCTGAACTCAACATTCTCTGAGCTCACTCATTACCTCCCCCCATCCTTCCATGCCTGGTCTACCAATACCACTAGTCACCAAACTGTCTTTCATTGGTGTCAGCCTCATGCACGTTGTTATCAAACCACAAGTGGGCTACGGTCATGCGGTTCTGGGTGAGGGTGCCTGTCTTGTCCGAGCAGATGGTAGACGTGGAGCCCAGCGTCTCTACCGCCTCCAGGTTCTTCACTAGGCAATTTTTCCGTGCCATGCGCTTGGCTGTCAGGGTCAAGCACACCTGTAGCCACAAAGAGGGGAGAGAAGGGTCCCAGAGATGGATGACTTACATGACTTTGTGTTTTGGAAATTTAATCATTTTTATTTCCCTTCTGTTCTCACCTACTCCTTAGAGAGTTCATCTGTGGCCTCGGCAAAGGAAATTAGGAAAGTAATTTTTTTTTTCACTACTGAGGATTGAACCCAGGACCATGTACCACTGAGCTACATCCCTAGTCCCTTTTTATAATTTTCAATATTGAGACAGTATCTTGCTAGGTTTCCCAGGAGTTAGATTTGAGATCCTCCTACCTCAGCCTCCTGAGTCACTGGGTTTACAGATTTGTGCCACCACAAGTCCCGCTAGGGAAGAGATTTTGATTTGTGCTTTGTGGCAAGAGTTTCGGTGTATTTCTTACCAGAGTCACAGAGTGATCGTCTCCCCCAGGGTCCTTGCAGGGTTTTCATTCGGCAGCCTCTTCTCCATTCAAGTCCAGGCCACATCTCTGTCTTAACATCCAGCCTTTCTACGACTGCATAGACAGCTAATATTTTGTTGTGTTATAGGATGCTATGTATGTGTGAATGGATTGGGGGTGAGACACTGTACCAATAGTTGAAAAAGTAGATAGGATGAAATGAAGACATTCGGAGGGAATCCTACAACATTGAAAAGGACTTGAGAAATCATTTAAACCAGAAGATTTTTTGTTGACCAAAAATTCAATGTAAACTGACTGGGGTGGCACATGCCTATAATCTCAGTGACTTGGGAGGCTGAGGCAGGAGGATTCGAGGTCAGCCTGGGCAATTTAGTAAGACCCCGTTCTCAAACTTTTAAAATAAGAAAAGCTGGGGTTGTGGCTCAGTGTTTGAGTACCCCTGGGTTTAATTCTCAGTGCCACCACATTAATTAATTAATTATCTAACTAAAAGTAAGCCTGGTGTGTGGCAAGGTTTTTTTAAATGCTAATAAATTCTTAGACTGTGGTTATGTAAGTACAGGATTCTAATCATGAGGTTGTGGTTTATTTATAATCACCTGTCCCAATGTTTTCATGCTAGTCCAAAACACGCTAAGTATTATTCTCGTTTCTATTTTAAGACTATTGATAAACTGGAGCATACCCCAAGTGGGTTATCAGCAAGACAAGATGTCTGAAAACCCTGTCACAGGAAGAATGGCTAAAGGAAAAGGGATTATTTTTCCTCCCACTGGGAGAGTTTGAAGGGATGTAATGGATACCATCATTAATCTACAGGGTTAGACTGTAGAAGAAAGAGAATCAACTTATTTTGTATTTCTTTAGGTGTAAAAGAGAGAAGATGAAAACGCAGAATCACATTGCTGCTTAACACAGTGACATTTAACTACAGGAGCTGGGCATGGTGGTGCAGGCCTGTAATCCCAGAGACTCAGGAAGCTGAGGCAGGAGCACCACAAATTCAAAGCCAGCCTCAGCAAATTGGTGAGACCCTGTCTCAAAATAAAATAAAAAGGGCTGGTGGAGGGCTGGGGATATAGTTCAGTTGGTAGAGTGCTTGCGTGCACAAGGCCCTGGGTTCAATCCCCAGCACCCACCAAAAAAAAAAAAAAGGGGGGGTGTGCTAGTAGGGCACTCCTAGGTTCAATCCCTGGTACCAAAACAAAATAAAAAACAAAAACAGAAGAAAACTTAAATTATAGCAATCTAATAGTTAAATGCTAGAGACAATGAAAATGGAATAGAAAAAAATAATCTTCCATGGATTTTATAGAGGATATTGAACATTGGTTCAAAGGTTGGAAGTCCCTTCCAGTAGAATTCTGTGGTTCTAAATTAATCTTTCTCTATAAACTGATGAAGTAAGGCCTGGAGATGTGAAATCGTTTGGCCAAGTTCACCACTAGTATACCCAGAAACTCGAATTCAGACCAATGCTTCCTCCATTACCATTCACTTCCTCTCACTGAGGCGAAAGACAAGATGCCAGAAAATATGGCAGAGGAAGTGATGTAACATTGGTAGCTGGATTCTTTCCGGCACCCATATGCGTATCAGGAATACAGTATGTGAAGTTTCAATGACAAAAAGGTACGAGTGATTTCATTTCCCCGGGGTGATTTGCCTGCCTTCAAGGCTCTCCTCCACCCTGTCTACTCACAGTGACAGTGGCCAGCAGCCCCTCAGGCACATTGGCCACAATGATGCCAATGAGAAAAATGACAGCCTCCAGCCAGTCATAGCCCAAGAGAAGCGAGAGCCCAAAGAAAGTGACACCGAGGAAGATGGCCACCATCGTGATAATATGGATGAAGTGTTCGATCTCCCTAGCAATGGGCGTCTTGCCAACCACCAGGCCTGATGTTAGCGTAGCGATTCGGCCCATCACCGTGGAGTCTCCTGTAGCAATCACAATACCCTGGGCTGTTCCTGTGGGTGAAAGGAGAGGGACAAGGTGATATAGAGATATAAGAAATACTGTAGTGGTTTCTGCTCCCAGTTCCTGGGATTGAACCCAGGGCCTCATGCTTGATAGGGAAGCACTCTACCACTGATAGCCCTAGCTCTTGCCCACAGTTCCTGACAGAGAGCTCCTGTTTTAGGAGCTTATATGCTAAGAGAATCTGTTGTTTTTCTTTTTCTTTTCTTTTTACCATCCCCCACCCCTGACTTTTTTTTTTTTTTTTTTTTTTTTTTTGAGACAGATCTGGCTAAATTAGCCAGGCAGGGCCAGGCAGGCCTAGAATTTATAACCCTCCTGCCTCAGCCTCCTGAGTTGCTGGGATTACAGGCATTTGCTACTGTTCCCAGCAAACTTGTCCTTTTTTATATGGTGCTGGGGATTGATCCCAGGACCTTGTGTATGCAAGGCAAGCACTCTACCAACTGAGCTACATCCCCAGCCCCAAACTTTTCCTTTTTGGAAGTAGCAATTAACCAAGACAAGTTCAGTCATTAAGGTTCTCCTCAATTCATTACGCAAATAAGGGTCTCCAAGTTGGAAAAGTCTCTGAAGAGATCTCACAGTTATCCAGTGATACCCTACTTTACTGCCTAAAGTGCCTTGAAGAAGGTCTTCATGCCAGGTACATGGTGGCATGCGCCTATAATCACAGTGACTAGGGAGGCTGAGGCAGGAGAATTGCAAGTTTGATGACAGCCTCGGCAATTTAGTGAGCCCTAAGCTTTTTAGTGAGACTCTGTTTCAAAATAAAAGTAAAAAGGCCTGGAGATGTAGCTCCGTGGTAAAATACCCGAGTAATAAATAAATAAGTATTTTTCTTTTAAAAAAGAAGGTCTTCATTACACTTATCTGAATATTTCCTGTTGCCTGTATATTTCCTTCTCCAGCTGCTGAATCGTTTTTACACCCCCAGGAATGATTCTCAACTGGAAGCAATTTGCCCCCACCCCTCACACAGGGGACTTTTGGCAATGTCTGGGGACATTTTGGTTGTCCTAAAAAGGCTAGGAGGAGCTGCTATTGGCATCTAGTGGGTAGAAGCCAGGGATGTTGGTAAAGATCCTGCAGTGTCCAGGACAACCCAACCCTCCTCCTCCCCCAACAAAGAATTGTCTGGCCCCGAATGTCAGTAGTTAGGAAGCCCCGCTTAACCTGCGCCCATGACTGGCTTTGCTGACTAGAGCCAGTCTGACCTCTGCTGGGGAGCACAGGCCACAACAGCTGGGCTGCTGTGCCTACCCAGGGCTCTTCTCTCCACCAGCAGTGCTCCAGGAGCCGGAAGGGCAACTGGGACATCAGGTGTGGCTTTACATACACATGATGCTGGCGTTCTCCACATGGCTGGAAATGAGGGGCATGGCAAGATTCAATTCTTCCTGCTTTACCATAATGACTGAAATTTCTACTATTAAAGTCAGAGTCAGAATCACTCAGGAAAGAAACATATTATGGAAATAGCACTTATTTTAAAATTCAGTGTACATTCAGTCTTATATTCAGAAGTTACTCTTCTTTTTTTTTTTTTTTTGGATGGGGAGGATGGGGATTGAGGTGTGCATCTAGATAAGTGTTCTACCACTAAGTTATATCTTCAGCCCTGTTTTTAAACTTTATTCAGAGACAGGGCCTCACTACAATGCTCAGAGTCTTGCTACATTGCTGAGGTTGGTCTCAGATTTGTGATCCTTCTGCCTCAACCTCCCAAGTCACTGGAATTACAGGCATGTGCCACTGTACCTGGTTAATGACCTCTCTAGTACTGGATTCAATCCTCAGTATCAGAGGAGGGAGGGGAAGGGAGAGAAAGGTGATAAGCAATCTTTTAGTTCAGATCAAAGTCTTGGAAAGAACATGGGCTTTGGCAATAGACCTGAATTAGAATACATGATCCTCCTCTTCTGATGAGTTTTACCCTTGGATAATTAATTGCTTTGAGCCTTCATCTTTCATGGGTAAAATACGGCTAATACCTACTATATAATATTGTGAGAATCACGGATTATATTGATAGTATTTGACATGGTGCATCCAATAAAATGAATTTATGCATCCAACAAAATGTAGCTATTTCTAGATACCCAAACATTTATTCTTAAGCATTAATAATGGTTTTCAAGTGTGTTCCAGAGAGTCTTCAGGCTACTTTAAGGGAAAGGGCAAAGGAGAGATTGACATAATGCTACTGAGTCCCTTGTTACCGCTTTGGTCAGAATTGCCTCCTGGTTTAAAGATGCCCTAGATTCTAGGAGCAAAGTTAAAGTCTGAGGAGTACCTCTGGTTTCTCAAATTCTCAATGCCAGTATCCTCCTTGGACAAGGGACTAGTTATAAGTTAGGGCTTCCCTAGGAAAAGAATGATCTAGCAGGGATGAATAATTTTTCCTCCTTCCTGTGTTGTTTTAAGCATCTAGAGGGTAGTCATTCACTAGCCAGAAAAATAGCTTATAATTATAGGGTACTTACAATGTATCAGGCCTTGTGCTAAGAACTCAATACTTTTGTCATCCACGGAAAAATCTAGGCTAACGACTTTTAGTATCATCAAATGTGGAAATGTGCAAGTGGGGGTCTTTAGTGGTGGTGGGAATGAAATTTGGGAAAAACCCCAGAGGGTGCTTTTCCACTGAGCTATATCCCCAGCTCTTTTTATTTTTTCTTTCGCGACAGGGACTTGCTAAATTTCCCATGCTGACCTCAAACTGGTCTTCTCCTGTCTTAGCCTCCCAAGTCTTGGGATTATAGGCACGTACCACTGCACTGGTAGAAACGGTGGTTTTGACCTTGAATAAAAAGGTCACACAGATCATGAGCCATGGCTAGGCTAGCCTGTTCACCAGTTCTTCCTATCCCAATCCCGTTAGAAGACAGAGCGCTCTTGAAATCTTTCTGTTTTGGTTTCTGCTTTTGAATTTATGCTACTTATGATCCAATATTCACCTTCTACACAGTTGGTGGAGAAGAAGCAGATATTTCGTGTCTCCAGAGGGTTCTCATGGGTGAAGTCAGGGGAGCGGGATTGGGGCTCTGACTCTCCAGTCAGGGAGGAATTGTCCACCTGGGATGGGAAGGAGGACAGGTCATTAGGTGAGTGTGGGGGGAAAGGCAGGTACATTTGTATCTCTACTTACCATCATTTACATATAGACAGAAACAAATGTACATAACCAGCATCTTATTGTCTAACCTTAGACTCACACTAGTAACTTCTCAAGGTTCTGAAATTTTTTTCTTCTGTGTGTGTGTGCGTGTGTGTGTGTGTGTGTGTGTGTGTGCTTGATACTGAGTGTTGAACATAGGGGCATTCGGCCACTAAGCTACATCCCTGGCCTCTTCTATTTTTGATTTTTTTTTTTTTTGAGAGAGAGAGAGAGAGAAGAGAGAGAGAGAGAGAGAGAAGAGAGAAGAGAGAGAGAGAATTTTTTTTTAAAATATTTATTCTTTAGTTTTCAGCGGACACAACATCTTTGTTTGTACGTGGTGCTGAGGATCGAACCCAGGCCGCACGCATGCCAGGCGAGCGCGCTACCGCTTGAGCCACATCCCCAGCCCCTATTTCTGATTTTTTTTGGGGTCTTACTAAGTTGTCCAGGCCGACCTCAAACTTTCGATCTTTCTGCCTCTGCCTCCTGAGTCATGAGGATCACAGGTTTGTGCTACCACACCTGGAAGGTCATACTTTTTCTCACTGAGCCTAGGTCTCTACCATACCTTCAGACCACCTTAGCCCCCTCCCTTAGCTCTCCACCTCTCCTCACCTTGCATCCTTGTGAAGAGATAAGCCGGAGGTCAGCAGGGATTCTGTCTCCACCTTTCACCTCTACCAGGTCTCCCACCACCACGTCTTGTACATCAATTTGCATCTTCTCTCCGTCTCGAATTACCAGAGCTTGCTACAGGAAGACAGGGCAGAGTTGTTTCTAAAACTTTTGGTTTTCCCAGTCTCTTACTTCCTATTTTTCTAAAACTTCAGTTCCTGACTCTTTCCTCTGACTCCTCTTTTTTACTGTCACCCACTACAATATTTCTGAAGGAGTCTTTGGTAGATTGCGTATTGCTGCCAGGTATGGTGGGGCACACCTGTAATCTCAGCAACCTGAGAGGCTGAGGCAGGAGAATTGCAAGTTCGAAGGCAGCCTGGGCAACTTAGCAAGACTCTGTCTCAAAATAGAGTAAAAAGGACTGGAGATGTAGCTTAGAGGTAGCATACTTGCCTGGTACAGCATGCTCAAGACTCTGAGTTTAATACCCAGAGTACAGGGGGGGAAAAAAAAGATTGCATATTCCTATAGCCACCATCTGCAAGACTCTTTGCAATGAGACTTTACTGGTCTTTCCATCAAAAGGTGGGGTCTATCTTTTCATTCCTAAGTCTAGGCTTAGCCATGTGACTTGCTTTGGCCTTGAGATATTAGCAAATGTGATGCAAAGTATAGGCTTAACAAGTGCTTTTATGTTGGGATTTGTCCTGTCGTTAAAGGAACCCACTGCCACCATCTGGACAAGCCTGAGCTGGTCTTCCAAAAGAACAGAGATCATGAGGAGAAAGGCCCCTGTTGTCCCAGACATCTGAGCCAAGGCCCCAGATAAGTCAATGAGGTCATCTTAGATCATCTAGCCCCAGCTGAGGTCAGCCCAGACCGCAACAATATCCCAGCCTCAGAACTGCCAGAAAGAATATGTTGTTTTAAGTCATTAGATTTGGGAGTGGTTTGTTAGGCAGCAAAAGCTAACTGATAATTTCCAATCCTAGTTCAAAACTACCAAAACACTTTCTTTAACACTCTTACCCAAAGACAAAAATTTTTTTAAAAATTCTATTTTCATGGTTCAGGGAATCGGATCCCAGAGGAACTCTCCCACTGAGCTACACACTCAGCCCTTCATTATTATTTTTTAAAAATTTGAGACAGGGGCTGGGATTGTGGCTTAGAGGAAGAGCACTCGCCACACATGTGTGAGGCACTGGGTTCGATCCTCAGCACCACATAAAAATTTAAAAAATAAAGCTATTGTGCCCACCTATAACATATATATATATATATATATATATATATATATATATATATATATATATATATATATTTTTTTTTTTAAATTGAGGCAGTTTCTAAATTGTTCAGGCTGGGCTCAAACTTGTGATCTTCCTGCCTTAGCCTCCCAAGTCACTGGGATTAACCCATATACTCAGCTGAAAACATGAAATCATATTGATGCCAAAAAGAATCCTCGGCGATAGTGCTATTACATTGTCAGGAAATTTTGCCACCTATTCTTTTACAAGTTTCAAGGCATATGCCTAGGAACCTCTGTTTACTGTCTGTTCTTTTCAGGTATCTGTACAAAAAAACTTATTTGAAAATAATTTTAAGTTTTTGAAAATTTTAGAAGAATAAAAATAGCATCGATGCTTGTAACCTTTAACCTACATTGGTTCAACTATTAACATTTTATCTCATTTGCTTTATTACTTTCTTTCTGTGTGTGCGTGCAGGTGCATGCGAATGCTTTTTTCTTGAATTATTTGAGGTTTTGTTACATATTTCACGATCTTTTATCCTAAGTGTTTCAGTGTGCATTTCCCAAGAATTTGGGATATTCTCTTATATAACCACAATACAGTGATTGATTTTGGTAAGTTTCACATTGATATAATATTTTACCATCTGCATTCCATTTTTGTCAATTGGCCCAAAATATCTTTTAAAGCACTATTTTCAGATTGCAGGTGTAGCTTAGTGGTGTGCTTGCTAGCATGCAAGAGGCCTTGACTTCAATCCTCAGCACATACATACAAATAAAGGCATTATTTTTTTTTCCTCTAGCACTGCATCAAATTTAGAGGTGTAAGTACTGAATTTAGTTGTCATCTCATTTTTTTTTTTTAATACCGGGGATTGAACACATGGCCAGTTTTCCTCTGAGTTTTATCCCAAGGCCTTTGTTATTTATTTTTAAATTTTGAGACAGTCTCATTAAGATGCTTAGGGCTTTGCTAATTTGCAGAGGCTGGCCTTGAAGTTGTGATCCTCCTGACTCAGCCTCCTGAGTTGCTGTGATTACAGGTATGTGCTACCATGCATGGCTAGTAATATCATATCTCTTTAACCTCCTATAATCTGGAACAATTCCCCAGCTGTTCATTTTGTGTGTGTGTGTGGGGGGGGGTGGGGGGTGGGAACTGAACCCAGAACCTCACACATGCTAGGTGAATGTTCTACCATTGAGCTATTCGTTATCTTTAACATCACTGACATTTAAAAAAATCTAGCCTCCCTGCCAACTCTTGTCTTTTATTTTTCTTATTAATATTCTGTGGCCAGGGAAGTGCTCTACCGCTGAGCTACATCCCCAGCTCATTTTCAGACAGGGACTCACTGTTTTCCAGGCTGGCTTTGAACTCGTGATCCTCCTGCCTTGCCCTCCCAAGTAGCTGGGATTACAGGCCTGTGCCACTGTGCCTGGCTCTATGCCTTTTTTTTTTTGAGGTAAGGATGCAATTTCCTCATTAGATTCCTATTGTGCCTCTTAGACTAGACTACTTAGTGGTAGTGGCGTCTCTTTTGCAGAGGTTCACAGTTTCTAAGGCCTGATAGAGTCGCCCGGTGCCTTCAACACTAGCCTTGCTCAGCTCACTCTTTGTAGGGTATAATTCTCCGGGGGACTTACTAACTCATCTGTCACATTCTAAACACTCGTCCTACCTGTGGCACCATGTTCTTAAAAGATTCCATTATCTTTGAGCTTTTGGCCTCCTGATAATAGGAGAAGCAGCCGGTGATGATGACCACTACAGACAGCACGATGCCCAGGAACAGCTGGAGACCGGGAAAGGGCGCATCGGTAGGTGCTTTTCTTCCTCTTCATCCTCAGAAAAGCAACTTCCAGAAGTAACAGCCAGTTGTCCAGGGGAAATACCCCCAGGGCTGAGTTGGAGGGCAGAGGGGCTGAGAAGAATCAGAGCAGCACCCGTGCCCTTTTTGGGGAAGGAACCTTGAAGTTTGGTGAGTGGTCAAGAAAATCCAATCCAAAGAAGGTCTAAACCACCCTCTCTAGGAAGGCTACTCACGAGTGGGCCGTGGGTAGTAGGAACAGTAAAGATACAGGGGCGGTGAAGGGGCGGAGAAGAGGAAAGGCCTGCAAAGTATTTTGATGATCAGTTGGAAAGATCATCAAAGGAGAGAAAGTTCTCCCCGCCCCTCGCCCCACAGTACTGGGGACAGGATGATCCAGGAGTGCTCTACCTCTGAGCTATATCTCCAACCCTTTTTATTTTTTTTTTGTTTTGCGACAAGGTCTCACTAAGTTGCCCAGGTTGGCCTTGAACTTGCAGTCCTCCGGCCTCAGCCTCCCAAGTTTTGGGGATTATAGGCATGTGCCACTGTACCCCACGAAGCAGAGAAAGTTTCTGAGGGGAATCCTGCATCTCAGACAGCTGGACCAGGAGCTTTCTAGATAAAGGCAAGGAGAACTAAGTTGGACCGGGGGCTTCCTTAGAAAGTGCTGGTACTCCTAGAGACTCAGGCCAGAGGACTTCAGGAGTGTAGACAGAAGAGTTTCAGGGGCCGAGCAGAGACTGGACTGGCCAGTACTCGTTGAGCCGACTCACATTATCTTTGGGAGGTTCCTGATGGGCATACAGCTGAATGCAATAGGCCAAGAAGCAGAGGATGGCCCCAGTCCACAGCAGGAGAGAGAAGCCGCCAAACAACTGTTTACAGAATTTGACCCATTCTGGAGTGGTGGCAGGAGGAGTAAGTGCGTTGGGTCCATCTCGAAGCAGGTTTTCCTTTGCTTTTTCGGGGCTAAGACCCTGAGTGGAGAAGAAATAGGGATGGAGATAGAGATGGGGCGGGGGGGGGGGGAAAGAAAGAGAGAGGGAGAGAGAGGTGAAAAAAGAGACAGGTGAGCCCCACCCCCACCTTTGTGGGTTTTTTGAGGCAGGATCTCACTAAGTTTCTGAGGCTGGCCTCAAATTTGCAACCCTCCTGTCTCCGTCTTCTGAGCTGCTAGTATTACAGGTGTGCCCCCCTGCACTGGCTCTTTGGGGTCCTTGGTAAATGAGAAGAACTGTTACGGGATCCTAAAGACAAAAAGTTTTGAGAGACACAGCCCTGGACCATCCTTACTTTCTTAAAGTGTCCCAAGCTTTGTTGGGGGTAGTTCCATGGTGTCCTGTGGAACTTCGCTGAGGGGGAGAAGTAGGGACGTTGGACTTGAGGTTAGGGAGCATGATTTCTAGAGCTAGAAATCATCAGTCAGTGCTTTTCTTCCTCTTCATCCTCAGAAAAGCAACTTTGAGAAGTAACAGCCAGGTGTCCAGGGGAAATACCCCCAGGGCTGAGCTGGAGGGCAGAGGGGCTGAGAAGAATCAGAGCAGCACCCGTGCCTTCTTGGGAAAGAACCCTGGAGTTGGGGACCGCTGCCGCCTCTGGGAGCTCCTTACTCACTTTGTTCAGGTCCACAGAATACTTGGCACTCAGCTCTTCCAAGGTTAATGTGTGGTCATCCTGCAGGGACAGTAGAGTCATTGAGGGGGGAGGTGGTGGCCCCAGGTTATTTTCAGGGAGAGGGGGAAGAAGCATCTTGGGGAAGAAGACAGCTCAAGCCTGGGTAATTCGCTCTCTGCCTTTTTTGGGGGGTGGAGTGGGGGGTGCACTAGCAATTGAACCCAGGGAGGCTCTACCACTGAGCTACATCCTCAGCTCTTTTTATTTTAGTCAATCAATTTATTTTCATAACTTTGTTTTATGTATTTACTTGTATGTGGCACTGAGGATGGAACCCAGGGCCTCCCATGTGCTAGGCAAGTGCTCTACCCCTGAGCCACAAACCCAGCCCTGTTTTTTATTTTATTTTATTTTTTTTTTTAAATTTTGAGACAGGGTCTCACTAAGTGGCCCAGGCTGGTGTGGAACTGGGGATCCTGATCCTCCTGCCTCAGCCTCTGGGATTGCAGGTGTGAGCCACCAAGCTGGCCTTTAAGGAGTGTTGTTGGGAGGCAGAGTCGGTCTGAGGGCTGTTTCAGGGCCACCGGCTTTGGGCACACTCACCATGACCACCTCCTTCTTCAGTTCCTCTAAATCTTTCTTCTTTTTTTTCCTTTTCACTTTTGGTTTCTTGCTAGTTTTAAACCTCATTCTGGGTCTTGGGCTTGGAGTCCTCTCGCGAAAACTCATTGTCCCTTTTTCCTCTCCGAACCCCATGGTTGTCCCTGGAGAGAGAGAGGACCCAGATCAGCAGGTGGGAGGAAGCTGAAAGGGGGAGCGGGGGTGAGGGATGCAGAGGAGGGAGGAGGGTGTGGGGGGGCTGTGGAAGGGAGGGAGGAGGGCGGAGGAGGCTGGGAGGAGTGGAGCAGGGCAGGGGTGGGGGCGGACCCAAGGGAAGGGGAGAGAGTAGTTGGCAAGGGAAAGGAGAAGAGGGAGAGAGAGACCTGAGCAGTAAAGCTGAGAGGAGGAAGTTTCTAGAATGAAGGAGCTGGGCGAGAGGAGCCTGGGCTTCCAGAGCTAAGGAAGAGGTGGAAGGCTGAAGAGCTGGAGCTGAGGAAATGAACAGTGTGGCCAGGACTTCCGGGGCCTAAGTGCTGAAGATGCCCAAGGCACCAGCAGGTGGGAAGTGCAGCAAGAATGGAGAGGCCTGAGCGAGCTTCAGGGCGCTGGGAGCCCCCAGCCCCAGGCCCTGTGGGTGCCCTGGCAACCCCCGGGGCCTGGCATCACAAAGGCCTGGTGGAAGTTCCAACCCGGAATGCACCCCTCTCAGTCCTTGGGTCTGAAGGTGACCAGAGCAGATTCTGCTGCAGAGAGCATCTGGGTCTGAGGGCAGAACTGGAACAAAGCCCTGTGTGGTCCTGAGACCTCTGAGGCCTCGAGAGACCCCAGGGGGATGACAGGAAAATCAAGCAGGTACTCTTGCGTGTGCACGCCTCTTCACCAACACGGAATCTGATCCTTCAGTTCTAGAGATCAGCTAGCCAAATAGACCTGATGTGGAAGAAGACCTGGTCTGATTTGGAATAAGTCTTGAGTTTGAATCCTGACTCCTCTGCTTGTCGGCTGAATGATTTTAGGCAAGTTCACTAACTTCTCTGTGCCTTTTCCCCCTTTACTGGAAAGGAGGACGCCATCTGCCTCATAAGATGGCAAGAGTAAGGGTTAAAGTCAGGTGCTTTACATAAAGCACAGTGTCTGGCGTATATGGGGTGTGCTTGAATTTGGTATTAGTCTTTTTTTTTTCTTTTTGGTACTGAGAATTGAACCCAGGGGTATTTAACCACTGAGCCCCAGCCCCAGCCCCTTTGTGGATGTTATTAAAGACAAGGTCTTGCTGAGGTGCTCAGGGCCTCACTAAGTTGTTGAGGCTGGCTTTGAACTTGTGCTCCTCCTGCCTCACCCTCTGGAGCCACTAGGATTACAGGCGAGCAACACCATTTCATTTGTGGCTTAATATACAGTTCTTCTTCTTTTTTTTTTTTCTAATTTTTTATTGGTTGATTTTTAGATATACCTGACAGTAGAGTGCATTTGACATGCATACATAGAATCTAACTAATTAGGGTCCCATTTAAAGCTATCCTCTTCCATGTGAATATCACAGTATTCCCTCATTTTTATTTATTTATTTGATTGATTGATTGATTTTGTAGTTACTAGGAATTGAACCCCAGGCACATTCTACCACTGAGCTGTACCCCCAGCCCTTTTTATTTATTTATTTTAGTTTTGGGGGTATACTGGGCATTGAACCCAGGGGCACTTAACCACTGAACAACACGCCCAGCCCTTTTAAAATATTTTATCTAGACACCGGGTCTCCTTGAGTTGCTCAGTACCTTACTAAGTTGCTGAGGCTGGTTTTGACTCATGATCCTCCTGTCTCAGCCTCCAAAGCCACTGGGATTATAGACATGCAACACCATACCCGGCTATTTCCTCATTTTAAAATGATGTATTTATCTCTCCGTTCACCTTTGACAACTCAGTAAGTGCTCTGACTTTAAATGTTTTATGTGCAAATATTTTTTATCTCCTTTCAAAAAGGATCTGCAGTACTTAACGTGTTTCTATCAATCATTTATATATATATTTTTCAGTTATGCATATCACATACATATTTCATTTCTGGTATTTATTTAATTGCCTTTTGGTTGGACAAGATTTTTAAAAATATGACCATATCTGAAAACATCCATCTTGGTACTGATGCAATTCTCCTTTGAAATTCACAAGTGAAAAATGATTCCTTCCCAGCTAGAATCAGGGTTAGTTTGTTTCCTTAATAGATTAGATTTTTCTTCTCTATTAAAAAAAAATGTATAAAATAGGAGTTTCTGGAGAATAAAATTGGTCAAATTATGTTGTGAACATGTATGAATACATCACGATGAATCCTGCTATTATGTGTAATCATAATTTACCAATAATGTACATAATGTACCATGATATACCAATAAAAATGTAAAATAAAGATTCAAAGTCCCATTCCCCTTCCCTTCCCACTCTCCATGGCCAGAATGACTACAGTCAATATACTGCCTGCCCTTCAGGCTTTTTTCTGTGTTTATACAAATAGAGACCTAAGTGGGGATATATTTTTAAATTTTATACAATCATCCAATCTTGCTTTCATTAATCAACCTGTCAGGTGCATAAAGCTTATGGTTTCAGCAGCTCCAAAGCATATTCTGGGTTGACCATGGCCTCTTCGATCATTCCCACTGCTGATGGATTTATAAGACGCTTTCCAATTATTTTTTAACTATTAAAAACACTGCCTCAGGGGCTGGGGTTGTGGCTCAGTGGCAGAGCACTCACCTAGCATGCATGAGGCACTGGGTTCGATCCTTAACACCACATAAATGTAAAATAAAGATACTGTGGGCTGGGCATGTGGCTCAAGCGGTAGCGCGCTCGCCTGGCATGTGTAAGGCCCGGGTTCGATCCTCAGCACCACATACAAACAAAGATGTTGTGTCCGCCGAAAACTAAAAAATAAATAAATAAATATTTTAAAAAAAATTCTCTCTCTCTCTAAAAAAAAAAAAAAGATATTGTGTCCACCTAAAACTGAAAAAAAAAAAAAACACTGCCTCATAGCATCTGTACTATAGGTAGCTTTAGCTTTTATATCTGCAGAATTAATTTCTGTTGCTGAAACACAGGAAACTCTCATTTAAAATCTTAAAATATATTTTTAAAAATCTTAAAATAGTCTACCAATTGTTTTTAGGGCTTTTTTTTTTTTTTTTGTTTAGATCCCAGCAAGTAGATGCAAGAATGTGTACTCTCCATACTGAATGACCTTGTCATTTACATTTTTCACCATTACACTGGGCAGAGATTATCTTGTTATCTTGTAGTGGGTTTTTTGTTTTGTTTTGTTGTAATCTTGTAGTCATTTTTGAGGTACTGGGGATTGAACCCAGGGATGTTCTACCACTGAGCTACACCCCCTCCAGCCCTTCTTATTTATTTATTTATTTTTGAGACACAGGGTCTTGTTAAGTTGCCCAGGCTGGCCTTGAACTTGCCATTCTCCTTGCTTTAGCATCCCATGTCACTGGGATTATAGCCATGTGCCACTGTGTCCAGCTTACTTTGTAGTTGTAATTTGCATTTCTTTATTGTCTTGTGAGCATTTTATCTTATGTTTGTTTTGTCTTTTTTCAGTTGATGTGTAGGAACCCCTTGCCATGTACATTGCAAACATTTTCTCCTGTCCTGGTGTTTAATATCCATTATAGCATCCTTAAGAGCAAGGTCAGAATTAAAGTTAAAATTGCTGAATTCATCTCTGCATCCTCTCTGTGACAACACTTAGCCTTGTTCATAGAAGGTCCCCAGAAGCAACTCTATGGAGATACAATCAATTGGAAGTATTTTTGGAAACCCCTTTCAGATCTGCAGATCTAAGCTCCAGAGTTCACCTTTTCAGAGAGACCTTCTCTGAGAGCCAATCCAGAGCAGTCCCTCTGGCCCCAACCCTCGTCACTTTGTGGTGCTGTTCACTCTCTGAAATTGTCCTGCCCACGTATCTGTTGACTTGCTCATTGCCTCCTTGTCCGTGACCTTTCCTGGCCTCCAGAGGAACACTTGGCCCAGAGCAGCTTGTCCTTAACCGATGTTGAATGATAAGTTTTCTGATTTCGTTTTGATGTTACAAGATTTTGATAATGAATTCACTTTGGTTTGGAGTGCCTCAACAAGATCTGTTGAGGTAAGCATGCTATCATAGTTGTATATTCATTTATTTCGTAATTACTTATAAAAAATACCCCTCAGATTCTTGCCTGATTACTGTTACAACCAACATGTTATGTTTTATGAAAATATAATGAAGATTTTAATTGATATTAGATTAGCTCTTTTTATATAGTAACATTTTCTTTTTCTGGGGGTGGGGACTGGGAATTGGACCCAGGGGCACTTTACCACTGAACCCTTTTAATTTTTAAAAATACCTTTGTTTTATTTATTTACTTTTCTGTGGTGCTGAGGATAGAACCCATTGTCTCACCCGTGCTAGGCAAGCACTCTACCACTGAGCCACAGTCTCAGCCCCTAATTTTTTAATTTTGAGACAGGATCTTGCTAAGTGGCCTGGGCTGGCTTTGAATTTGCAAGTTTGCCACCCACTCAACTACAGTATATATATATTTTTCTTTCACGACATTCTGTCTTCCCAAAGTTTTGCTCTCCATGTATTCATGCCATGTGCCACACGCACGAAACCTTGATTATAATTTGTTCTGTTGGAAAATAGGAGCCATTTGTGCTGTATCTTCTTTAATAGGGATACATTTATTTGTTTAAAAACTGATATATTGGTGCCCTATGATTTTGAACTTATGTTTCCAGGAGATACACACACACACACACACACACACACTGCTGTTGCTTTGTTTGGTTGTATTCCTTGCATTTTGTAGACAGTCATATCATTTACAAAAAGCAATGTATTTTTATTTATTCTAGCTGGTTTCTTTTTTAGAATTCATTTATTTATTTTTATACTGGGGGATGGCCAGGGTTGCTCTACCACTGAGCTACATCCCTGGTGCTTTTTATTTTTTGAGACAGGAGCTCAATTTATGCCCAGGCCGGCCTTAAATTTGTGATCCTCCTACCTCAGCCTCCCTAAATCCATTCTCCTGGATTACAGGCATATGCCCCCATGCCAGGCTAGTTTGTTTCTTTTAAATGCTAACTTC